TCTCTCTCTCTCTCTCTCTCTCTCTCTCTCTCTCTCTCTCTCTCTCTCTCTCTCTCTTTTCTCTGTGTGTCTGTTTGTGTTTTTTCCTGTCTTTATCTCTCTGTCTCCCTGTCTGTCTTGTCTGTCTGTCTCTCTCATCTTCATCTCTCTCTGAATATGGTCTATGTCTTTGAACATTGGTTCTCTGCCCTTTTCTGTCTTCCTGTACCTCTCCCCACCATTTGGGCAGGGAAGACAAGGCCGTTTGTAGAAGAAACCCCATGATCAACTCCTGCCCCTTATACTAGGTCCCAGGCCAAGGGTCAGCAAGAGCTAGGGAAGCAGGCTGCCCCTACTAGGTGCCCTGGTCCAGCCGGCACAGCCAGACATGGATGACACAATTGGGCAGGGCAACCTGTTAATGGAAAAGAGGCCAAGAGCCAGGACCAGAGGTGGGTGGCTGCTAGTGCTTTGAGAAATGGGGCACTTGATGGGGTGTAGGGCAGCACCCCTCCCTGTCTGATCTTTACCACCTGGCAGCCTCTCTCACCCTCCTCTGTGTCCTGGCTTCCTTTTCTGTCAACATGTCCACTCTGATTCTCCAGGTCTCAATCCCCACAGGGAGGCAGGAGCTCAGATCTGTGAGCCTCGTGCCAGACATGAACTTTCTCCACTTGAAATGACAGTCGTGAAGATGTGCAGATTCCAATCTAGGTGTTAGAGCCTGGGGTGGAGTCTACTGCATAGGAGAAAAAAAAGCCAAACAACAAAACCCACCTTGAGGTTTAATGCAATTAAATGGCTACAAAACCAGCCACCTGTTTCTCTCAGTGTTTTTTTCTCACTTATATGGTCTTTTAAGTTCTTGCAGTTGTTAAATGCTTTATTTTTGAAAATTGTTTTATATTTATTTATTACTTTATGTATTATCTTACGTATTCTATTTAGTGTGTGTATGCATGTGCGCATGTCATACTTGAGTGGAGGTCAGAGGACAACATAGCTGCTGGAGTTTGGGCCTCTCTGTTCACTACATGAGTCTCAGAGACCGACCTGAGGTCATTATGCTCAACAGCAAGTGCTTTTACCTGCCGAGTGGTTTCCTCAGCTCCTGTGTTTGATCTTTGAGATAAAACCTCATGCTGTAGGCCAGGCTGACCTTTAATTCTTGGCTGGGATTGTATGTGTGAACCATCACATTTAGATAAAAGCCAGCATTTTATTTTATTTTACTTTATTTATGAGGCAATTTCTCATGTAGTCAGCACTAGCCTTGAATGCACTGCACAGCTGAGGGTGACCTTGAACTGAAGAGCCCCTGCCTCCACCTCCTGAGCGCTGGGCTGTGTGCACCACAGCTTGTTTGACGCAGCCTTTTGGATCAAACCCATGAGCTACATAACACCTCAACTGTTTTAATTAGTGGTATGTATTTTTTTAAATGTGTGTGAGTGTTTTGTCAGCTTGTATGTATATGCAACACGTAGTTGTCCATAGAAGCCGAAAGAAGATGGCCCATTCCCTAGAACCGGAATTACAGGCAGTTGTGAGGCTACATGTGAGTGCTGGGAACCAAACTCAGGTCCTCTGGAAGAGCAGCCAGTGGTCTTCACTGAGGAGCCATCTCGCCTGCCCTTTAGAGAGATCTTTTTTAAAAAAACGATTGATTTGTTTTTATTTTATATGCATTGGTGTTTTGTCTGCATGTATGCCTATATAAGGGTATTGGATCCCCTGGAACTGAAGTTACAGACAGTTGTGAACTTCCATGTGAGTGTTGGGAATTGAACCCAGGTCCTCTGGAAGAGCTGCCAGTGTTCTCAACTGCTGAGCCATCTCTCTAGCCCCAGAGAAATCTTTTTAAAAATATTTTTAAATTTAGTCTTTGAGAATTTCACTCTTGTGTCCAATGTATTTTGATCACATCACCCTTACTTCCTCCCCAGCTTCTTCCAGATCCCTCACAACCCCTCCCACTGTCTTGTTTGTTTCTTTAAAATTTTTAAAAAATTTTTTCTTTGCTCATATAGTACATCGCAACTACAGCTCCACCTCCCTCCAGTTTTTCCAGTTCTCCCCACCCCCTCTCTCACCCAACTCCACTCTCCATCCACATATGTTTTTCCCAAGAAAATGCCAGGCCTCCCAGGGACATCAACCAAGCATGGCTCAACAAGATGGAGTAAGACCAGGCACAAACCCTCAAATCAAAGATAAGCGAGGCAACCCAGTAGGAGAAGAAAGGGTCTCCAGAGCAGGCAAAAGAGTCAGAGACACCCCCACTCCCACTTTCAGGAGTCCCCACAAAACAATCCAACACATAACGTGCATACAGAGGACCTAACACAGACTGCTTCTGTCTCTGTGATCCCCCATGGGCCCTGCTTAGTTGATTCAATGGGTAGCGCTCTCCAGGTGTCCTCTACACCCCTTGCGCCCACAATTCCTCCTCTTCTTCTTCCCTGGGGTTCCCCTCCCAGCTTCAACCTGCAAACAGGAGACTCAATTGAGACCTCCATTCAGGCTCTCTCTCTGCCTAATAACTCTGGGTCTCTGCATCTGCTCCCATCCCCATCCATCCCCCAGTTCACCAACAAAATCTACTCTATTTCCCTTCCCAGGGAGATCCGTGCATTTGTTCCCTCTTGATCCCTCCTTGTTGCTTAGCCTCTCTGGGTCTGTGGGATATAACATGATTATCATTTATGAAACAGCTAATATCCACTTACAAGTGAGTACATACCATGTTTGTCTTTCTGGATCTGGGTTACCTCACTCAGGGTGATGTTTTCTAGTTCTATCCGTCTGTCTGCAAAGTTCATGAAGTCCTTTTCCTCTTCCTCTTCTTCATTAACTGCAGAGAAATACTCCATTGTGTCAATGTATCAATTTTCTTTATCTATTCTTCGATTGAGGGACATCTAGGTTGTTTCTAGTTTCTGACTATTATGAGTAAAGCCACTATGAGCATAATTGAGCAAGTGCCCTTGTGATAGGATGAAGTATCCTTAAAGGTTATTGATCTAGCCATTCTGACAAATGTAAGATGGCATTTCAAAGTAGTTTTGATTTGCATTTCCCCGATATATAAGGATGTTGAACATTTTAAAAAGTGTTTCTTGGCCATTTGAAATTCCTCTACTAAAAATTCTCACTTTATATCTGTACCCCATTTTTAATTGGATTGCTGGGTTTTTCGTGTCTAGTTTCTTGAGTTCTTTATATATTGTAGATATTAGGCCTCTATTGGATGTTGAGTTAGCAAAACTCTTTTTCCTTTTGTAGAATGCTATTTTGTTATATTGACAGTGCCCTTTGCCTTACAGAAGTATTTCAGTTTCATGAGATTCTATTTATTAATTGTTGATATTAGAGCCTGAGCCATTGGTGTCTCATTCAGGAAGTTGTCTCTTGTACCAGTGTGTTCAAACCTATTCCTCACTTCCTCTTTTATCAGATTCAGAAAATCCAGTTTTATGTTGAGGTCTTTGATCCACGTGGACTTGAGTTTTGCACAACGTGATGGATATGGATCTATTTGCATGTGTATATACATAGACATCCAGTTAGACCAGCGCCATTTGCTGAAGATAATCTTTTACATTATATAATGTTGGCTTCTTTGTCAAAACTCAGGTATATAGATTTGTACCTGGGTCTTTGATTTGATTAACCTGTCTGTTTTTATGCCAATACCATGCAGTTGTTATTACTGTAGCTCTGAAGTACAGGACTACTTGAAATCAATCAGGATACTTGTAGCTTGAAATCAGGGATGGTGCTACCTCTGGAAGTTCCTTTATTGTACAGGATTGTTTTAGGTATCCTGGGGTTTTTGTTTTTCCATATGAAGTTGAATATTGTTCTTCCAAGGTCTGTAAATAACTGTGTTGGAATTTTGATGGGGATTGTGTTGAATCTGAAGATTGCTTTTGGTAATATGTCCATTTCTACTAAGTTAATCCTACTGACCCACGAACATGGGAGATCTTTCCATCTTCTGATATCTTCTTTAATTTCTTTCTTCAGAGACT